TTTTTACTCTAGTACAAGATCTGAGTACTTCTACTTTTTACTCAAGTACAAGATCTGAGTACTTCTACTTTAACTCAAGTACAAGATCTGAGTACTTCTACTTTTACTCAAGTACAAGATCTGAGTACTTCTACTTTTACTCAAGTACAAGATCTGAGTACTTCTACTTTTACTCAAGTACAAGATCTGAGTACTTCTACTTTTACTCAAGTACAAGATCTGAGTACTTCTACTTTTACTCAAGTACAAGATCTGAGTACTTCTACTTTTACTCAAGTACAAGATCTGAGTACTTCTACTTTTACTCAAGATCTGAGTACTTCTACTTTTACTCAATACCTGAGTACTTCTACTTTTACTCAAGTACAAGATCTGAGTACTTCTACTTTTACACAAGACCTGAGTACTTCCCCCACCTCTGCTGAGTATGCGTTGGATGTCTGGAGCAGCTGATAATTATAGTACACGAGTTATATACTTAGTACTTTGACACTCCTGAAATAATGCAAAGCCTGTCTGTAATGATCCACAGAGATCACCAACATGACTTCATGTAAACTCCTGAGGAAGAGAGGGGTGTTTGGAGCAGCTGTTCCCCGGCAGGGAGCCTCCAGATCCGGCCTGTCACTCACCAGCTGTCCTCGTCTTCGTGGAGACAGTCCATGTCCTCCAGGTCCAGGATCTCCACCTCGTCCAAGATCGACGTCTCCCCCTCGTCAGCAGCAGGGAAAGTGTCCGAATATAGTGAATTCCTAGCGGACACCGAGGCTCCGGCCGAAGCCCCTTCATAGGGCCTCCGGAAGCTGATGCCATCGTAGGAGAGTCTGGGGCTCCGGCTGTTCTCCAGCAGACCCCCGGGGAACAGAGGGTCGTACCCGGCGCTGTGGGGCCTGTGGGCGGCCAAGGGACCGGACGATCTGCTCCGGAGCTGCTCGTTCTGCTGCTCCAGCTTCTTCACCAGGTCCTGGAGCTTCCGCACCTCCAGGTCCGCGTTGATGTTCGAGTTTATGTCCTCCATATCGGGGGAAAAGGGAAGGAGTGGTGGGGTGTTTTCACCGGTTCTCCCTCGAAAAGGTTCTCTCTGTTGCCGACGGTTTTACGGAGGTGGCCTTTTAACCAGTTCTCCCCCTCTCTTACTCTCTGGTTGTCCTTACTCCTCTGTAGCCTCCGTGTTTCGGGAGGACACCGTGTTGTTTCCCGGACTTAAGGAGCTCCTCCGCGCCGTCATCTCCTCCTCGGAGTTTCGGGCAGGGTCGGAGCCATTTTCACAACACTCCTCGTCACCAACTGAAGACCAACAGGCGGCGGCTCGCTGCGTCATCGCGCACAGTGCCGGGGGCGCGCACGTAACCAACACCTATTTTCGCGTGCACGGGTGTCTACTGTACAAATCAACAGGTTTTTCATTGTTTTGATTCAGAGTCGGGTTTATGGTTTATACACTAGGGCTAAACATAAATAACAATAAAGTAGTAGTTATTTTCTGAATTCTGAAAACTCAACATTTTATTTTAGGTCACACTTTTGGTTATATTCAATGTAATATTCCATTCCTTACGCACTTAATGTAATATCTTGCTTTTTATTTTGTTACTGTACATTTGTATTTCAACATGTATATTTTCTACTTTTTGAATGCTATTTTATTTCTATTTGAGATGTTTACATTTTGAATTGTTTATTTCTACTCCTTTAATTTCTCTAATGTTCAATGCCTTGTCTTTTTATGCTGCTGCAACGCAAACATTCCCCACATTGGGATCAATAAAGTATACCTTCTCTTCTTATGTCATCCCAAAAAAATGTTCTCATGTGTCCCTAATCCTCTTCTGCATTTTTACACATTAATTAAAGTTGATTTTCTTTTTTTAACTCAGCATTTAGCTAATCAAGCAATGAATTATTAATTTATGTTACTATGTATTTAGAATTAAATGATTAACCTACAGGAAGACAGTGCTGACTCAATATTGTGGAGGATCAATGCTGCCATTATGTTAAAAGAAAGACTCAATAATTCAACAGAATACTAAAGTGTCTCAGTCAGTAGGGACTTGGACTGTGAGCCGTAGGGTCGCCGGTTCAAGTCCGCGACCAGACCTAAATATGGAGTGTGGACTGCTACTTGGAGAGGTCCCAGTTCACCTCCTGCCCTGCCGTGGTGCCCTTAAGCAAGGCACCGGAGACTCCTGGTGCTAGACCCCTGGTGCTAGGATGGGTTAAATACAGAGAACAAATGTCACTGTGTGCTCTGCATGTGAGACCATTAAAGAGGGTTTCATCCCTCCCAATTCTATCTATCTAAATATAATTAAAATAAAAACNGTCATCCTAAAAACTAAAATTCACTTCAAATAACAGGTAAATACAATCAAAAAGTGTGTTTTGATACCTTTTTAAATGTAACCTTGCCATTAGAATCTGGAATCGGAGGGATGAAACCCCTCTTTAATGGTCACACATGCAGAGCACACAGTGACATTTGGCCTCTCTCCTTTTAACCCATCCTAGTACCAGTCTAGTACTAGGAGCAGTGGGCAGCTATTGAACGGCGCCCGGGGAGCAATGGGAGTGGGGGGGAAGTGTAACTACTCTGGTCTTGAAAGAACATTACGCATCGAACTGATGTCCACAATCACGTTTATTTTCTTCTTTGTAAAATTATGAAACACAGCGAAAACGTGTNTAGATAGAATTGGGAGGGATGAAACCCTCTTTAATGGTCTCACATGCAGAGCACACAGTGACATTCCCCTGGTGCTAGGATGGGTTAAATACAGAGAACAAATGTCACTGTGTGCTCTGCATGTGAGACCATTAAAGAGGGTTTCATCCCTCCCAATTCTATCTATCTAAATATAATTAAAATAAAAACCGTATTATGAAAAAAAGTTATCAAATCTAATAATGAATAAAAGAAACAACACATTAATAAAGAAATGTAATTAAAATAAAGGCCTCATTAATAATGAAATGTAACAGCTTGATGTACAAACTAATTATTTTATATACACTTTTTATGTATCTTAAATTATTTTTTTCGTAATTATATATATAAAAAATAAAATGTGTTTTTCAATTTCTTTGGATATTTTTTTTGGTGATGAGGCTTTTATTTCTACCTTTATAATTTTAAACAATTCATCGTTACTGGGTAATATAAGGTGACAACAAATTAACATCTTCTTAAAATTAATAGTACTATTAAAAAAAAAATAGGACAAGAGAAAAATATCAATAATTGTGAACAAACATTTTAATTTCTCATACAAACACTACATCCTTGTCACGGATCACGACACAGAGCCAGTCTTATCTTCTGTCAGCACTAAGAGATGTCCAGGGCTTCCTCTGACTCCAGCTGCTCCTCCATCTTGTTCCCCCCCCCCTCCTCCTCCTTCCCCTCAGGACCCTCACTGGTCATGGAGGACTCCAGAACCTCCTGGTCAGCGCTGGCGTTCTGAGACTCTCCTCCTTCCTCATCCTCATCCTCCACGTCCATCTCAAACACTCGGATGTGCCTCAGGTTCCCACTCAGCTGCAGAGGAAGGAGAAGTGAATATTATATATATATTTATTCAGAGAAAACAGGTTCATTACTGAGACCAGGTTCAATACGTCAACAAGCGTCTTTAAAAATGAAATGTATTATTATTATTATTAATACTGAGACCAGGTTCTTTTTTATTCTTTTTCTACATTTCTTTATTTAGAAGACAGTTGAGAACATTTCAACAGTTACAGTGAAATAGACTTGCAGTTACAGGGAAGAGTAACGCAGCGTCCACACGGCAGCGTCGCGTTGAAGCTTGCCGGTGGGCGTGTCTGAAACTCGACCAACAACCAATCACATTAATCTCCCTCCCCGGACACACAAGCACGCGGTTTGATTGGCTAGAGCTTGTACTGGCATATGATTTGATTGGCTGGCGCTTCCGTCGACGCTTGAAACGTTGACATTTTCTCAACTTTCGAAGCGAGTAACGGAGGCAAAGCGAAGCGACGGAACCACAATGCAGTTCGGCAAAGCGTGACGTCACCCCATTCAAAGTGAAGGGGAAGCGTCTCCATTGAAGCAACGCACGCTGCCGTGTGGACGGGCCGTAAAGAACAGTATACATTGAAACCCTCCCCTTCTCAATGTCCTCTTTTTTAATTTTGTGCACACTGAGACCAGGTTCGTTCAGAGAGACCAGGTTCGTCCGGAGAGACCAGGTTCGTTCGGAGAGACCAGGTTCGTTCGGAGAGACCAGGTTCGTCCGGAGAGACCAGGTTCATTCAGAGGGACCAGGTT